ACTGCTGCATTATTCTCTTTGGTTGCTTTCTTGAAGAAATCTTGTTGCCTCAGTAGACATGTTTTAAGATTGGCAACCCGGTTGGCTCTCTCATCTCCCTGGTATTTTGCATACTCCTCAGTGTGTCTAGTTGTGTAATGACATTTCAAATTGTATTCCTTGTGCACCACAGCTTTCTCCGTGCAAATAAGACACGTCAGGGTGCCCCTGTGCTCAACAAAGAAATATTGCATTTCCCACTTTTCCTGAAATTGTCTGTACTCATCACCAACCTTTCTCTTCACTGCAGGCTTTGAAAAAGACATGTTTGGGGCTGTGTAATATATATAATTCCACTTGGTGTCACTGTCGCATTGAAGTTTCAACCAAGCGTTTAGCCGATGCACAGCAAACGTTTCAATGCATGGAGAACGTCATTTCCACTTATTTTTCTTGTAACAGTAGCATGGCGGTCGGCGGATAAAAGCCCAGTAGCAGTCTCGTTTGTTTTGATGCTCAATGTTCATGTCTTTCATGATGACATGAACACCATGGCATTTGTAGATGGTAGAAAGTATCAGGATAGCGAGCACAAAAAAGGCAACTGCTCACAGACTGTTATCCATCATGCTGTTGTTACAGGAAAAAGAAGCGGAAATGACACTGTGCTATTGTTTTTTTTTTAAAACAATTTTATTTTTTAACATAAGGGGTGACAAAAAGGAAAAGGGGACTTGGGAATTTATGGGGAAGAAGAGAGACCATGACATGCTAACAACCATTCTAAACTTAATGCCATATCATAGTTTTAAATTGTTCTGTTTTCTCTTTTCTGCCTTTTAGATTAAGCACTCATTTCAGTATATGCTATGCTATTGTTGATGTCATTTGTTTTGATGACTTTTACATCATATAGAAATATATGTAATATATTGTGTGAGGCAATGCAAATAGTGTGATGCAAATAAAAAACAATGACCCACAAATAATGGTGCGACCCTATAATTGGTCCAAGGCAGCCAGCCAGGCATGGAAGAAAACACTCCATGGCAATGCTGCTGTAACTTTCACTCATTGAGAAATGTATCTCTGCTTGCACCGTGATTGGTAGGTTTGTTCAGCTCCGCACACAACACTGTAAAGTGCCATACATATCAAACACGCAGGCCGCACTAACATTAAACTTTCATATTAAGGCGGGGGCCACAAACTATCATCTCAAGGGCCACAATCGGCCCACGGACTGCAAGTTTGAGACCCCTGGTCTACAGCATCTTGTTTTTATGGGTTGATGCTGAGATTTGCTTCAGAAAGTCTGGAGGCACACAGTCACTATTGCCCTAAATGGCTTAGGGCCTATTTAGCAAAGGCGTTGACTGTCTAGAGATATAAAGATCCTTGGGAGAAGCTTTCTTAAGAGCATTTAGCAGCTGCAGAAGCCTGGCTGATGGTAACAGTACACAAGAGAGGGCCTTCTCTGTCATGGAGCCCAGCCTGTGGCACAGGCTTCCCAAAGATTTGTGATCAGCAGCCAGTTGTACTCCTTTTAGACAGGGTGTAAGGACCCATCTCCTTTAAGTTGGCTTATGTATGATATTCTATAAATTATTGTGATGATTTTAACTATTTGTACACTTCAACTATTTTAATGTTTTTTTATCATGTTTGGTTTTACTGTATTTGATTGAATCACAGAATTTCTTATTTACTTTTTAAAAGACTTTATGTTTTATTTTAATTGTTGATTATCAGCTGCTTTCAGCATTACTTAGTACTGAAAAGGGGAGCAGAAATGTAATTATTATTATTGATGATGACTATAATAATGGTGATATAACAACAACAAACATATTATATCACCATGCATACATGCATAGGTTGTTCCTCCTTTTTGCACATTGACTAGAGGTTACTGATAAACAATTAAGTACACAAAAATGGATAATAAGATAGCATTTTAGTAATTGATAAGTATGTTATCGATTAGTTCCTGATTTTTAAAGAAAACATTTTAGATTGCAACCTCAAAAATCTATGCATTTACAGTCTGTGTGTTTGTTTGACTTTTGCAGGTCAGCTAACAATCTAGCAAACTGCAGAAGAGGATTTATTATGTAATATCCAAATAATTTCTAAGAAAGCTGTTAGAATTCATTGTAAAACTGTAAATTATTCATCAGTGGTATTGATCAATTGAGATTTTAGAAAAAAAATTCACCTTTCTTAAATCTTTCCATTTTAGTAAAAGAATCTTGCTTACCAAGGAGAGAAGGAAGCAGAAGGTAAACAGTGAGGACACTGAATAAAAATGTTTAAATTTGAGGGAAAACTTATCACTCAGATACCGTAGAAATAACAGTAGGAATAAAAGCAAGAGGAGTACAGAGTATTTTTTAGTACCACTGAGGCTGGAAACAGGTGGAACCATTGCTGATGACTGCACATTACAGTATTTTTCCTGTTTATAAGTTTTGAAGATTTTTGCAGTGTCTATAAAATTATGTGATGAGAGACAATGGACAGATACAAGAAATGAGGATGTTCACCACAGGCAACTACAGCTGTGTCATAATATATTTTCTTACTATCTATTTGAAGCCTGAGTAGAAGAATATTCCATGGCAATACATTCATACATAGGTGACATGAGCAGGGAGCTTCAGAACCTGATACTTGATAGAACCCTGGTCCCTCTCCTTTTAGAAATTAGCCAATGGTGAATAATTTTTTACGAACTGAAAAAATGTTACACCTAAGAGCCGGGAATAGTCTGGAGGCACCTGATGCTGAGCTAAGCAGGAGTGAATTGCTCAATGAGAGTTTAGAGTCCTGGATGAGCAGGGTAATATGTAAGTTAAGAAATATTTTAAAAAACATACTAATTTTAATTTGTATTTAGACAAGGATGGTGTGGTTGGGTACACCTCAGCTGAGTCACAGCATTTAGGATGGAAGTCAGACAGAATAACATAGAACAACAGCAGCAAAAATAATTCTGAAATGTAAATATTCAAGGAGAATAGGATTTAATACAAGTGTGCACTACATGTGAGGCAGAAATAATCCCAGATGTTGAATGGTGTTACTGTTATGTGCTGTCAAGCCACACCCAGCTCTTTGTGACCCCATGGACCAGAGCACGCCAGGCCCTCCTGTCTTCCATTGCCTTCCGGAGTTGGGTCAAATATTGTAACTGCTATCTATAAAAATAATAATCAGAGTTTTGTTTTTACCTGTTCATTGAACCCTTTTGTTCCTGTGCAGATTTTGTTTTGTTTTGTTTTAAATAGCAGTGGTTGAAATGCTGTTCTTTTTTTTTTTCAAACTCTGATTATTATGGATTTCAGAATGTGTAAGATACTTGAGGAGTAGTTTTACCATCCCGCAGTACATTTCCATGACCACACAGGGATTTGAACCCAGGTTTCTTGAGTCCTAATCCGTCACTATACCCACTCTACTACACTGGCTCTCATAGCTACCCAAACCCATCTATAGTTTGCTATTCATAATTATAATGAATTTGTGTACCTTGTACACACTGCATGTAAAAACCATGCACTGTGGTTTGGACTCAGAGGTGAACTTTTGGATGTGGTATTTTTTGTTCATTGAGATTGTTTTTATACTTTAAGTTCTACAACAAAAGTGAAGCTAAATTTAAAGACGATCCTGGATTTTCAAGGGAGCAAGAAAACTGCTATAAAATGTAGCCCAAGAGGCAATTTTTACATGAGCTTTTGTATAGGAAGAAGCAAGGCATAGAATAGTTTGGAGCCTCTTCTGGGCTAAATTCCTTCAGAATTTCCAAATGATTTATTTTATTACAATGACTTAGTTCAAGGTGTGTTGTACAACAAGGTGTGTCGTATATTTTGGGGGATGTTCCTTTTCCTTAATATGTTAGATTGTAAAATTGAATAACCTTGACAGTTAATACATGGTAGTATATGAGTGCAATCTTTGTATCTGACAGGAAAATTTGCATTACAGTAACATCTTCTTTTGTCATTTTCAATATGATAGGACTTCTTTGAAAAGGAAAAACTTAAGTCAAAGATGAAGTTGATGGGGATATCTTCCCAAAAAAACACCGCTGTCAGTTTAGATCTTCTTAATCTATATGTTGTTAACCAGATATCTACAAAGAAAGGTTATATTGGTGAGTTCTATAAAAAATTTAATTGATGGATTGTATAATCAAAAAGCATTAGTTCTGAAACAAATTTCTTTATGCCTCAGTAGCCCCAATGTTAATTAGATCTAGAGTAACAATATTTCCATATTAATTGGATTTACTAGAACTAAGAAACAATACAAAAAAGACAGTGACCCATAAGAAGTGAATCACATCAAAGATGAATCACATCACATCTCATGCAACATCCTGTTTACACTACCATCAGCTATTTGCCCATGGGAACCTTACAAACAGGGCATGAATGCAACAGAATGCCACTGTTCATATTTCCCAGTGATTGATAATGAAGCATACTGTTTCTGCTGCTGGGGAAAAGACTGTATATAATAATTGGCCAATATCTTACTAGTGTTTGCGTAAGGTTTGTGTAACTTGCTGTGGTTGATTATGGCTACCTGATGAGGAGTAGCTGTGCAATAGTTGATGCCACAGTGTCACTTCTTTCTGCACCCTGGAATGCAAAAATGCATTTCAATGGGTTTTTAAAATTCGCTTGACAATGATTTCGTTTAACAGCAATTTCAACGGAACAGATTATCGTCGTCAAGCGAGGCACCACTGTACTGGTGTTGTCCTGTACTTCAGTATTTTGAAATAGAATTTCATGTCCAACTTGTTTTAGGGCATGTTCAGCTACTGCCGATTTTTCCGGTTGTTTTAGTCTGCAGTGTCTCTCATGTTCTTTGATTCTGGTGTGAATGCTGCGTTTTAGGGTTCCAATATATACCTGGCCACAACTGCAAGGTATCTGATATACTCCTGCAGTAGTGAGGGGGTCCCTTTTGTCCTTTGCTGACCGTAACATTTGTTGTATTTTTGTGGCGAGCCTGAATACTGTTTGTAGGCTGTGTATTTTTCAAAAGTTTCCCCATGAGGTCCATGACCCCTTTGATGTATGGCAGAAATACTTTATTTGTGGGTGGCTGCAACAGAGCACAGACAGAATTCTGACTCCTGTCCTCTGAAGATGCCAGCCACAGAGACTGGTGAAACGTTAAGAAGAAAAACCTTAAGAACATGGCCAAACAGCCGATAAAACCCACAACAGCCACCAGATCCCGGCTGTGAAAGCCTTCGAGAATACACTTTCACTGTGTTTGGCTGGTAGGGTCACGTGCCCTACACTTATATGATGGTCAATCACGTCTAACTGCCTTATACCAATAAATTTGATAGGATAGCCATAAGCTGGAATGGACTTGGTGGCATATTAAGATGTCATTACTGAAGAACGATCTCATATCCTTACGAAAATATTACATGCACCTATTCAATTTACTAAAAGGGCTTCTAGCTTTTATTTCTACTCCAGACAGAGTGCAAAAGCCAGTTCCTGTGGAAATTAATAGAGGAATACCAAATCATTTGAGAAGACATAATGTAGAACTTCCAAAGTCACCAGAACGCAGACCGTGGAAACCTTTCTTAGATGATGTCCAGCACAGGTATCTGTACAATAATAGTTACCTCTTACATAACTGTAAAGTATAATATCTTAACATACTTTTAAATAATAGATACAGTTCCATCCTCTTCAGGTAGCTCTAGCAGTTATTTTTACTATGTGCTGAAACGAAAAATACAAATATTTTAACAGTATTTTCAGCTCAATGATTGATTCTTAGGTCATACGTATGCCATTATTTCAATGACGATGTGAGCAGCTTATAAGAATACTATGGAATTTGCTTTATCCAAAATATCTAGTTCAACCTCCTGTCAGTGCAGGAATCCACAGATAAAACATTTCTGATAAATGTCTCTCTGTTTAAAAATCTCCAACAAAGGGAGATTTTTAAACATCTTTCAAGATTGTCCACTCATGCTTGAATAGCACTTATCACCAGGAAGTACTTCCTAATGTTTAGTTGGAATCTCCTTTCATGTAATTTATATTTACTCATTTGGGTTCTATTTTTGGGCACAACAGCAAACCAGCTTCTCTTTGCCATTCCCTTAATAGCTATGAGGTACAAATTGTCATAAAACATCTAAACATTCTTAGATTTTCTCTTTGTTGGAACTGGACATTGGGCTGAGAAAACATTTATTTTCCTAAACATATCTCCAGTAACATTTAACTAATTAATGAAGAATAAGTCTAACTGAACACAGTGAAACATCTGAGTAGATGAACACGTTTATACTGCAAATATCATTACCATTCTGGAACAAGGTTGTTTTTGGACAAGACATTTATCATGCAATCATCTGTCTCGTTCGTGGAATGTTATGAGGGCAGGTGTTATCACTTTTTTTTGTAACTCTCACATTTTTTTATTTTTAAAATAACATTCTCAGTTTTTTCTTCATTCCTTCCATGTTTTTTCTGCCTTTTTTTTCTTTTCTAAAAAATCCACCAAAGCAGAGACAACAGAATAGCCATATAATGCTTTTTGACCAGTAGCACTAGATACTGCCCATGTAGAAGCTGCCTAAATATTCTGGACTAGTGACATGATCGGAAATTCTTAGATTTATCTGCAAATGTAAAATGTTGGGTTAGGCACTGACAATGGGTGGCAAGAGTCTTGGGTTTATTCTACAGGCTGCTTACTATGTGAATGCTATAGTGTAGAAGGTGCTCTGCAAAAGCTAATTGGTGGTTGCTGCTTTTAAAATGCTAACCAGAGGAAACATACACACCTCATTGTCTATTGCTATGTATGTTCAAAAATCTGCTTTCTTGTTGTAGAATGCAAGTGTATTCAACATTTTAAAATAGTGAGCTGTGCTATTTAAAAAGACCTGCCTCTGATTTGCAGCTCAAAATCTATCCACTTTTTCCAGGCAATTCTGAAGTTTTAATAACATGTACAAAATGTTTAGTGCTTCTCAAATTTACCAAATTTCAGTACATGTATACTTTGGATAAGGTTTTGAATATTACTACAAATCACTTAACTTGCACAGGATAATTAATATTTGTCTACCTATCCATTCATCTGTCCATCTAAAATACCTTTTCCAGCCATCTAAGAGCCCGTATATAGCTGTCTCTTTCACATTAAAGAATTTTATTGTGTAGGCATCCTTCAGTCTCGAGAGACTATGGTAAGATGCTCTGAATAGAGGTCTTGGAACAGCATCTAGTGTGGCTGAGAAAGGACTAGAGTGAAAGCCAATTCGAGAGTGACAATCCCTTCCGCAATGAAGACAAATACAATTTGTCCCCTGTCCAGCTCCTTGGTTTTTCTGGTTTCGGGACTGTCTCTTTGCCTCGGCCTGCTGAACAAGTGTCTCTTCAAATTGGGGGGGTCATGATGCACCACCTGCCTCTCAGATGAATGCTCAGATGTCAAGCTTTTCCATCTGTTGAAGTCCATTCCTGAGGCCTTCATATCCCCCTTGCAGATATCCTTGTATCACAGCTGTGGTTGTCGGAGACAACGCATATGGAATATGTTCAACTTCCTCTCCTGCTGTGCACAAAGGGTCCAGGACTCACTGCAGTACAGGAGTGTGCTCAGGACACAGGCTCTGTAGACCTGGATCATGGTATATGCCGTCAGCTTCCTATTAACCCATCCTCTCTTTGTGAGTCTAGAGAACATGGTAGTTGCTTTGCCAATGTGTTTATCCAGCTCAACATCTAGAGAGTGAGTGTCAGAGGTCGTTGAGCTGAGGTAGACAAAATTGTGAACAACCTCCAATTCTTGTGTACAGATGGTAATGGAGGGAGGTGAGTCCCCACCCTGGCCCATGACTTGTGTTTTCTTCAGGCTGATTGTTAATCCAAAACCTAGGCAGGCCTCATTAAAACGATTTATGAGTTGTTGGAGCTCTTCAGCAGAATGAGCAACAGCAGCTGCCTCATGGGCAAAGAGGAAGTCCCATATGCATTTCAGCTGGACTTTGGTCTTCGCTCTCAATCTAGAAAAATTAAAGAGCTTCCCATCTGATCTAGTCTGGAGATGGATGCCTTCTGTTGCAGTTCCAAAAGCGACCTTCGGAATGACAGCAAAAAAGATCCCAAATAGGGTCAGTGCAAGGACACAGCCCTGTTTCACTCTGCTTTGGATGTCAGAGGGATCTGATGTTGAGCCATCAAAAACTACAGTGCCCTTCATTTCCTCATGAAAGGACCTGATGGTGTTAAGGAGCTGAGGTGGACATCCAGTCTTGGGAAGTATTTTAAAAAGTCCGTCCCTGCTAACCAAATCAAAGGCCTTTGTAAGATCTATGAAGGCCACAAAGAGAGTGGCTGTTATTGTTCCCTACATTTCTCCTGCAACTGTCTGAGGGAGAAAATAATTTTATATCTTGCATTTATTTGTTCTCTGCACAATAATGTCATGCACCTTTAATCTGTGTCATTGTTTTGCCTTCTGTTCTTACTTCTTAAAAATAGTTTTATTATGTTTGTTACCAAGTTATATAAAACTACTCATTTAGGTGATACCAGACTAATCGAGTATGCTTCATGAAAAAGTTGGAATACCAAGCATGTTTTATCTGGTTCTGTGAATGTGAAATATTCATAGCATAAGTAATTGTAGAAATTGCCAAATCATTTTTGTCTTCCCCCTTCTCCTGTTTTATTAATAGTGTACAACAAGAAGTATTAGAAAATAGAAGAAAATATCTCCTAGAAAAAGGGAATTTTCAGTGTCAAGTAAGTTCTTATACTAAACTATGGCAATGTATGCAAGCTGGATACAGCATAATGTTCTGCATCTCTTAATCTACTCTTAAACCGATTCCCATGGTAACTTAAAAATATGTGCCATAGTCACTAGATTTACTATATAGATACTAGTTATATAATAAAAACAAGTCATTGTGGCATAAATATTAAAAAACTATTTTGAGTTAGGTGGTCGAAATAGTGCTGATATAAACATCATAAGGCATCAAATTATTAATTTAAATTGCATTCATAAACAAATACACAAATCAGATCAAATCAAATCAATGGTCAGAATTCTATTAGTTACATATGCTGGTATAAGCCAAACAGCATCTCAGAGTCAATTGTCTCTAGTTAAAGAGTCAACTCTTATATTCCTCATGTGCTAAGTCACACAATTGGTGTGCAACACAGGAATACAAACATTGACTACTTAACTAACAATAATTCACCACTGAAATCTACACCTTTTGAAAGGCAGCATACATAAGTAATAGGATTCTGGCTATTAAATATTACTAGTAAATCATATGAAGTAAACTAAGTTACTTCCTTCCTTTCTTCCTTATAACTTCAAACTGCCAAGTTTTTAAAAAAAATCTGGGTGAAGTCCAAAATTTTAAACATATAAAATACAAAAAAGCAAAGAGTAATTAATGACAGCATGTAGTAATACCACCAGCAAAAATATAAACATTACGATGTATAAAACAAAAGAAAAACCATTAGCAAAGTGGAAGAGTTTTGTGATCTCAAAGCACTAAAATGGTTCTTGAAATGAGGGGGTAAGCAAAAGTCTTCTTCTCACGCTGAAAAGATTGTAATGTGTGGACTAGATGTGTGTTTTTTGCAGGGCATTCTGAAGTATCCTGGCTTGATTCACTGAAATGTTGATGAGGAAAACAGTACTTATGTCTCTGGGCTGGAACTACACCTTTGTAATAATCCAGAATAAAGATATTTACTGCAAGTTAGCTGCAAAAAGGCACAAACCTGCTTGCAATACACACCATGTATTAATGCATTAGTGTACACTCTTCAACTATGTGTCTCTTTTTTGTGGCATTGCACTCCCCTCACCTGCCATGGCCTCCTCATGCCACTCCTGCCCTACCCTGCTCAGCTCAGAGCCCTTCTTAAATTTTGAGTATATTTCATTCATTCATTCATTCATTCATTCATTCATTCATTCATTCATTTATTTCTATCCCACCTTTCTCACCAAAAGGACCCAAGGTGGTAAAAACTGGAACAGGAAATTGCAGATAGAGTGTTATTTTTAAACCACAGTAGGGCTTGGGCATCCATCCAGTTTTTCTAAAGTGTATAGCTTTGGCCCCAGGTACCCTAGTGTTTGGAAGTTAAGTAAATATCTAAGGGCATCTGACATCTTATTTCTCTTAGAAGGACTTTCTGCCATGTCAACAGAGCCTACAGTCTTCTCAGCTGTCAAATATAAAGTGTGAAGGCATTTGGATTCCTAAGACTACATGCAAGCAAGGGGATATCAACAACCCAGAAGCAGGCACACCAAGTGATCAGTATTTCCAGCAGTTCAATAGGTAAGGTGAGGTTATTCAGTGCAAATCAGAGTTGGCCTATAAAGTGGATAGTTGAATGGCTTCCAAAGTACATGGTTACATTAATTTTATTGTTTTAGAATCCTTGACATATTAATAGGTTCCCTTTGTGAGTTCCTGACATAGACATGATGAGCTCTGTGGTGCAGTGGTTAAACTGTAATACTGCAGTGAAGCCTCTGCTCATGGCCTGAGTTCAATCCCAATGGATTCAGGTTACCAACTCAGTTGGTAAAATGAGTACGCTCTCTCTCTCTCTCTCTGTGTGTGTGTGTGTGTGTAGTGCAGAAGTAAAGTGCTGCTTGCATAATTATGTTGTAAATTGTCCAAAGAGTGCTTTAGCAATATGAAGCAGTATATAAGTTGAAACAACAACAAAATGAGTACTTCTTGTGTAATTTGTGAATTCATATTCAATAGGTGTTTTTGCAGAGTTTGTTATCAGTGAAGTATTATACAGATGTCCAAGAGTATATCATAGTGAGTAGATCAGGATCACACCTGCCTGTCTGCCACCTACTCCAGCCCAGCACTCCATGCCCAACGTCATGTGATGAAACGTCATGTTTTCCTGTGTTTACAAAAACCACTTTCAGTAGCCTCAAGCTGCTGTATCTGAATGATGGTGCTAGTAGTCATTGATTGCACTTTTACATTTTACTGGCCAACATATGATAATTAAATGTATATATATGAAATACTAAAAAACAGAAACAATGACTAGAGATAGTACATGATAAAATCAAAATAAAATCACACCAATATTATGGTGTATTAGTGCATGGCTGAGACCTAAATACAGTTTGTTTTACCTTGTCAGGTAGTATGCATACAGGATAGTTCAGTGCAAAATGATTTATACTCAAGCAGCTACCTCAGAGACAAGACAACAGGATTGATAAGCATGTTTCTGATCCCCTCACCATATGTAGTCTCAAGCCTCAACGCTAGGTCATATATGTATGTACAGAAGGAATGTAGTTAGAAAATGAGCTTTAACTGTTGCCATGTACTATAGCTGCCAGTATCCAAAGAGCTGTCTAGGTACAGTACATGGATCTGAGTGACATGGCCAAGGCTTGGTCCTGGATGATGAGGTTATTTAATGAGTGGGAAAAAGTTGAAGTCCTCTTGCAAGTTAATTCCCGGGATACTTATGTCAATATGCTTTATTTGGGACTTAACTCTACAATCAAAGAGGGCCACAAAGCTGTAATAAATTACATTCTATAAACAGAGCAGAATGCCAGATTAATCTTTTATTTGTGGTTAACTCATTCTTACACAGAGGAAACCAGGTGCTTAACATTGCTCTTAGGTAACATAGGTACTGTGCCTCACCTTGATAATATATTTTTACATGTTTGTGACATCTTGCATGATTCTCTCTGAGAGCCTCATTGGTTCACAAAGTTATCTGGCACTATATATGATGATCCATTAGGTATCTTATGTTGCTGATATCTTTCCTTGTGTTTTCATGCAGAATTGCTTTGTGCCCTTCCTCCCACATTACTAAATTGTTCACAGCAATGGAGCAGCAGTGACATACAGTGGTTGGATGGATTAGTCACAGCTGTTTGAATAAGACAGTATGCTTCATGTGGATCTGGGGGGAAAATAAAGTAGGATTCTGTTTTGTTTTTTCACAGTTGCTATCTAGATTATTACATTGGCTTGAATCCCCACATATTGAGTAATTCTTCAGTTCCAGGGAGAGACTTGAAGGGTAGATGAAAAAAAGAAAGAAATTTAATCTAAAAGATAAGAATGTTTGAAACTTTCCTCCCAAAGAATAGGTCATATTAGCTGTGCAAGCATAATCAGCAAAAAGTTTTAAAAGCAACATTTTAAAAAAAGTCAAAAGGACTAACTTGTATGAGGACTAACATTATTAGAAGAGGATATTTCCTCATATCCACATTTTTGTCTTTTTAAAATTTTGTTTTCGTTTTGTTCTGATATATTGCAAAACCATATATATTGATATTAGTTGTGTACTGTGTAACTTTTGGTATGTTTTATTTCACTGATCAGCATTTCCTCCCTTCAGTCTAGGATATAGTAAAACATTTGGCAAGTCTCCTAAGTTTACCATTGATGCAGATTTCGAAAACAATCACAAAAAAGACCCATTGCTAATGAATGACACACTAAAAGCTACGCAAGATGAAAGTTCCCAGACTATTGCAGCATTATTAGAAGAGGACAGTCAACCATTTCTTACCATTCCTTCTTCACCATCTTGTCATTCCTTTGCTAATGAAAACATTCTTGACCAGCTGTTCTCAAATACAGGAGATGCAAATGAAATATCCAACATGTGTCACCCTTATAATAAAGAAGAAATGTATCAGAAGACAGGTTGTGACAGACATTCTAGTGCAAGAGATCTCAAAAGTGTTTTAACAGCTCCAGAGCAAACTTCTTTCTCCAGAAGCCAAAGCTTAAATGCAGTTGGCCCAGAAACCACCAAGAATCAACAGAAAGATTACTATATTCAAGAAAGAAATCCTGTAATATATTATGACCAGCAGGCCACCACTATAGACTTTAAAAATACAGGTATATATGTATAATGCATGAAATAATCATAACATGAAGGTCAAACCTCATATTTATGGAAACCCCAAAATGCCTTTACATTAATATAGGTAGTTTATGTGAATGAGATTATAAGGAGACCCCAGGCGAGGGATGTGGTACACAAGAATAAATTGTTTCCCCCAAAGAGTCTCTGCTGATGAAGAGCATGGCATCCACTATTAGGGGTTATAACTCTAATTAATTATTCCTGTGTCTATTAATAGTAGTCATACACATATGCAAGAAAATGTAGAGGAATGCAATTAAGAGCTGGGTGTTGAAGTTCTACCCTGCTGAGCTGAGAATTCAGGCTAAGGATCACATTTTGCCCTCGCCTAAGCATTATGCAAATAGTAGCCCAGTTATTTTGTTCCACAGAACTCATCAAAGGGTCTATTAAGAATCAGAACTGAGCCACTCTCTCTTTGTACAGCCTCACCATTTCATCTACACACCCTCATACAAAAGTTTACTTATTTGTTATCTTAATGAACCTTAGATTTTAAACACCAAGATTATCATTGTACATACTTTATTTTAGATTTTTGCCAAATTCAGGAGCTAGACCAACAACATACATAATCTTTCTTGTCATGGAAATATAGGAAATACGATATTTACCTTTACTGGCTAGAAACATGAATATTTAGATTACATCTTGAAGCAGAATTCTGTGTGCACAATGATGTGGCTGCCTCTGCGTTTTCAGTGCAGGGAGCTGGTGACCATATGATTCAAGTTCTCTTCTATAGAAATTAATGGAGAAATTGTCCCAGGGAGAATATCCTAAGTGTTTGTTCAGTGTTTCTGTGCATGGTTTTCATTTTAATAAATTATTATTTTAAAAATTTGTACTGTTATATTTTAACTTTTTACTTTTAGGGAGAATGGCAAACCAACAGAAAAATATGAAGGTAGCAGACCCTGTGGAGAATTATATGAAGAAAATGTGAGTCTGAAATCAGTTTTTTTGTCATTAGCTGTACTTTTGCATTTTGATATCTAATGCCTGCTTCATATATTATATACATTTTTTTACTTTTTAAAATAAATAGAGTTTAAAGTTATTATTAATGCTTCTGCATTGAAAGTAATGGGGAAAACAGTGACAAAGAAGATTATTGTGCTGAAAAATTATAGGTTATTCTGTTATTTATTTAAATCATTCAGCTTGCACACAATACTATGAGTACAATTTGGATAGAGCATCATGCCCTTTTAAGTCTGTATGCAAAACCTTGATTAGCTTAGGATGTATTTTCGTCACTATTAATAAATATTGCCATTCCTTCAAATAATCCACAGAAATGTACACATAAGGTGATTGCTTCCCAATCCACCTTATTTGGTCTACCAGCAGTCCTGTGGGATAAACTGAGCTGAGAGAAAGTGATTGGTTCAGAGTGAACTTCATGGCTCAGCAGGGATATGAGTGAATTTTTATTTTTTCTTGGTAGCAATACAGTAGTGTAAGAGGACTGGTATACTTTCTCAGAGCAAGTGTACAGCCATTGAGCAATAGCCCTGGGAGAGATGCATTGATTTGCAGCATCAAGCTGGAGCCCCTTCAGGAGATCTGGATTATATGCCTAAATATCACTATAAGGGCTACAATCACTGTAAGGGCTACAATGGTATTAGTAGGGCGCCTCTTTTTGTGTGACGCTGTCATTTTTTTTCAAGCTGAGAGAAACAGACTCTTTGCCCAAAGTTTCATTCGATGTGCATCAGAACTGAGAAATGTTGGAAAGGGGGGATTTACTTCTCTGTAGTAAGCAAATGTTTTGTGCATCTGGTTAGTGCTTACATCTGAGCATTTTTCTGAGGTCGGAACTAGATGCTATGCTACTGTAATCCTGTAGTTAGAAAGCTGTGCTACCATAAGTTCCACAACATCTGATCTACTGTATCTGATCATAAAGTACATTAATTCTCCCAGCTATGCATCTGCTGGATAGCTGAGTGGTTTAGATATCTGGTTGTGGAGCCAGAGGCTGGGAGTTTGATTTCTCACTGTGCCTTCTTGACAGGGGTTGGGCTCAGTGATAGAGTCACTTCCAGCTCTGCAGTTCTGAGATTATTATTATTATTTCCTCAGCTTTGTTTCAGCCATACAACACTGCAATCCCAAATCTCAGTTCCTGACTATAAAGAGAAACAATAGAGTGTTAGAAGACATCAGTTTCTCTGTAGACACTACTCCGCTTCTATGCTCATTGGTTTTATGGCAAAGTCTTTGAAGGTGTGGATTCTGCAAAGTTATGCATTGTTCTAAAACAAATGGCTGTGCCTCAACATTTAATTGTCTTGAGGAATAACCTATACTTTGTACAATAACCTATACTCTGTATAAAAAGCTGTTGATAGAACAGAATGTGAAGAAACAGAATGTGGAGAAACGCCTAGAGTGGTCAAGCTGACTAGAGTGGTCACATTGACCAGATAGGTGGGATATAAATAGAATAAATAAATAAAATAAAATAAATAAACAGAACGGTTTTCCATAGGCAAAGGTGTCATATAGAGGTGTATCTTCTGACCTCTATTCTTGCAGTAGAGCACAGATGCTTAAGATCAAGCTGTAATCAGAAGATCACTTTATACCGTAAAGTATCAGAACAATACTAGAAATATTGTTTTTTATATATAGTTGAAACTACAGTGTAAGTTACTTTTTTCTTCCCCTTTTGCAGCAGAAAGGATGGCCTGGCAGAACAAAAGCTGAATCAGTTGCAGATTTTTAGACCTGAAGAGGTAAATTCTTTAATGGGGCGCACTGTGTATAAAGTAATGCATTTTGAAGGCTGCTTGGCATATCTCAGTCCTGGTTACAGAAATATTATGACCTGGGGTGCATAGAGAGAGAGCTAAAAGAACTGACGGTCACTGAGACCAGGATTACCTTGGCGGGTGCGGGAGAAAAAGGGCGGGAAGTGGTAGAGGCGGGGTTAGGTGATATTAAAAAGTGGGGAGGAGAGTTGCCAGTAGGTTGGGAGTGGATTTGGGCGGAAGACCCATGGACTGGAAAGACAGAGAAACTGAGAGTCCTGAAAGAGGAGGCGGATGCCCAGAGGAAAAGAGAACGTAACTTGAAACCATCATATTGGGGTGAGAGGGAGACCAAAGAGTGACAAAGGAAATTGAGAGAGGAAAAAGAGAGGGTGGAAAGAGAACGCCGGGAGAGGCTAGAATGGAGGATATGGGAGACACAACAGAGGGAATTCAGGGAACTCCGTGGCAGACAGAGGAACCCACCTGGGAGTGTGACTGGGGGGACGTTCAAGAGGAGGACGCCATCCCCTTGCTGGAAGGAGAGGAGGGACTAAACCCTGAAACCCCACCAGAGTGGCCGGGGCCCTGGAACGACCAGAGTGGAAAACCCTTTAAGTTAGAAGAATGGAACCCTTCATCTGACCTGTTGTCAAAAGGGGAGAAGGTTTGGAACACGTTTATAGATACTGGACTTTTGTTGAACAACCCAATAAATGTTACCCCTGTTTCTAAACCAAAGAGATTTGTGGTGTTATTTGAACAGGAACAAGAGCCAACCACTGAACCCTCACAAGTTCGCATTTTACCACTTGGGTGCTTTATTTTAACTTACTGATTTTTTAAAAAGTTGTGATTTACATTTCTTAAATCATGTTTTTAATTTAATAGCATTTTAATATTTGAATTTCTTGGTGATTTAATTCTGTTTTTTGTTTGAATATGGTGGGAGTCTCCTTGAGACCCATTGGGAAGAAAGGCCAGGTGTAAACCAAACAAATGAATGAATGAAGAAAATGACGTAGAATACTTGAGAACTGCTCTTTCTGTTTTATGACTTACGAGGGTATGGGAGAAACTGAAAACAATAGATTCTGTTCTCATGCTGCAGCAGTCTAGCTGCCTGTTGAGTCTCAGACTGCACAACAGGAGGAAGGTAGAGCTCCATAGAAAGGATTCTGGGAGAAGGCAGACTTGTTTCCTTCTCACAGTGCATTTGTACAGTATAGGTGGAGGAAGTGTGAGGTCTCTTTTTTTCTGATTTAATTTTTATTCATTTCCAATAGGGATAGAATTTGGGGATAGGGGACTGTGCGGCTGTGGGAGTGGACATGGGTAAGAGAAGGGTAAAATTCCCGAGAGCGCAAGGGTACAGGAATTTTAAGTCCACTTATAGAATTCAACAACAACAAAGAACAAATTAACAGGTTTTAACAGAATTATTACAGTTACCAATCTCTTCATTCCCTGATTGGACCTTCACATTCTTCTTTTGTATATGCTTTCCAGTCCATATTTCAAGTCCAACTGTAAAATCATTCCAAATTTTTATGTCTTTTTTAAGATAACCATGTTTCTCTTTTCTTCCAATGTTTCCCACATTATAGCTACAGTAATTACTTGTATTAATAAATGTTTCATTTCTTTATTTATAATTTCAGATACGTATAATACTTAACACAATTCCAGTTTAAACGATATCTCACAAAATACATTTTCCAACATTTCAGCATTTCATATACTAATCTGCAATAATCTCCAATAATTTTCTGCTTCCCTACCTGTCTGCCCAATATGGTTGAAAGTACCCTTCTGTATTTTGCATTTCCAACACTTATAAAAAAATCGTAAAGTGGTTCTTGATTTTCATAAGATTTGAAGAAATATAGTGTCCAATTTTAATTTCTATATTTTTGCAACATCTTTTGCATCTGATGTTACTCTATTCTTTCATATGAGTTTCTTGGAGGCTCATTTTATTCATCTTTGTTATTAAGGTTTTCTTTCCTTTTCTTAGATTACCTTTTTTCCATTGTGGGCTTTCCTTTGGCCCTTCCCATTTGGTTTTCTATCTGAAATTCTGAACTTCCTTCTGAGTTTGGTCCTAATGAGCCACTTGATTGCTCCTCTTCCTGTTTCTCATCTGTCTTTTTCTCTTCTTTCCTACCCAGCCATTTCCTTTTTTTTTTTCATAAAGTCTTCTATCTTCATTGTTGAATTTATAAGATATCTCTGTGCCTGGAATTGGAAAGAGATAATTTCAGGTATCAACCATTTATATGTAGTTGAGTTTGTTCTCAGGAAATCTCTCAACTATGTGTATTGTCTCTTTTTCTGTCTTATTTGCCACAGAATATGTTTCAAAATCTTAATTTCTTTTCCTTTTATAGTGGATCCTTTATCTTGCATATTTCTTAGAATTTTTTCTCGAAATACTATTCTTGTGAATTGTGCATGAATTTCTCTGGGAAGTTTATTATTCCTGGTGTATGCTGTGTTAATTCTTCGTGCTGTATCTATATTTTGCTGTACTTTCTGGTCACATCTCCATAAGTGGGGCTAAAAAAATAAGTTACCAATTGCACTGTGTTTTCACCCTTTTGTTCTGAAAGATTCTGGAATCTTTCAGATTTGTAAATTTGTAACTTTATCAGGTTGCTTTCATCTTGTTTTCTTTCATGTTGCATCACTACCAGTTCTGCATTCATAGTCTCCATTTTCTCTCTCTCTCTCTCTCTCTTTTGAAGTTTCCTGTAAGTATTTTGGCAATTTCTTTTTTATTTTCTATAATTTGGTATTTGATATCAACCCTAACCCTAAATCTTTAATTTGGTCAGATACCTGAGCCATTCCCCCTTGTATCTGCTGTAATCCTGTTGATAACATATTTTGAATGTTCTGCTGTCAATCCTTAAATGTGTCTTGACCCAATAATTTCAGATTTTGTTCCTGCGCAGGTGAGCTTCTTGGGGCTTTTTCCTTTCCTTCCTTCACTGTCAACTTCCAAATTTCTTAAAGATGCTATCTGGTTTCTTTCCCAACAGGTGTCGCTGCTGCCCCACATTTCATTCAAACAACACTATTTACATAGTCCATCCAAAACATAGGTCAGCAGCTCTCTCTTGTCAAAATGTTCTGGCAGTTGCCAGTCAAAACAATGAGTGTTTAAGATAACAAACAATGCCTTGAGGCAAGTAACATTAGCAGTTTAATCTTTCTCTCCAGCCTCAGTGATGAGGGGTAAGGTAAAGGTAAAGGTTCCCCTTGACATTTAGTCCAGTTGTGTCCGACTCTAGGGCGCAGTGCTCATCCCCGTTTCCAAGCCATAGAGCTAGCGTTTGTCCGAAGACAGTTTCTGTGGCCACGTGGCCAGTGTGACTAGATATGGAACGCCATTACCTTCCCACAGTGGTGGGATTCAAATAAATTAACAACAGGTTCTATGCCCGAATGGCAAATAAATAAATAAATAAATAAATAAATAAATGAATGAATGAATGAATGAATGAATGAATGAATGAATGAATGAATGAATGAATGAATGCCCAGGACAGTGGGAT